TGCCCTGTGTTATCCCCTATTGCTCAAAATGGTGATACGTAATGAGGAGCCCATACAATGGAAAGGGGGCCGAACGGTTGCTCTGTTCAAAGGCAAAGGCGCGCACGACGTATGTGCTAATTTTCGTTCCATCTTGCTCATGTCGACCTTAGGCAAAGCAATTCGAGCTTCAATGAGATCGATCATCAATGCTCCTTATGTCAGAGGAAGCCCCCAAGGACAATTGGGAGGCAAGCCGCGACAGAGTGTCCTTTTTGGGGCGCAGGTTGTGCGGCATTTTATCTCCTGGCATAAACAACAACAGAAGTCATGTGCCGTCCTTTTCTGCGATGTCATGTCTGCATTCTATACTGTACTTCGTGAACTGGCGGTAGGCTGTGCAAACCAGACATGGCCTGAGCAGGTTGATTTGATCATCAAGCATTTTGGACTTGGACCAGAGGTTCGGAATACGCTTGTCCAAACTCTCGAAGGACAGCATGAATTTCGCAGACTTGGAGCGACAGACATGCAGATGTCTTTGTTGCGAGAAAGTCTGTCTGACACTTGGTTCTCCTTTGACGGGAAGAGATGTGTGCGGACCACTAAAGGAAGTAGACCAGGAGACTCCTGGGCGGATTGCACTTTCAACATTTTGTTTCAGGCGGTTCTGCAGAAACTCATGCACAGACTCCAGAAGCTGGACTTAGTTGCCATTTTGACTGACGGATCCCAGCTAGATGCGAGTTGGCCAGGACCCGATCAAGGGGCAGAAATACCTTTCCAAGTCACTTGGGCAGACGACCTTGCCGTATTGCTGACCTTTCGCACACCGCAGGAGATTGTTGAGAAGTTGCCTTTTGCTGCTGCTGCATTATTCGATACCCTGGCCGAATATGGAATGAAAGCAGCAATAGGGCCAACCAAAACGGCAGCAATTGTTTTAGCCAGGGGTCCGGGTGCCGTGCAGACTAGACGCACCTTGTTTCGAACACAAGCTGCAGGGTGTTATGTCCTCCTTGAAGAGGAAACTATTCTTCTTCCGTTTGTCGACAGATACAAGCATCTAGGGGGGGGTCATTTCGGCGACGGCTAATTTGCAACTTGAAATGCAAGCGAGGTGCCTCCGAAGCAGATCTGCATTTTGGAGGATTGGTACCAAAGTTTTGCGCAACAAGAAGCTGCCTTTCGAATCCCGTAAAGCAATTTTTGATGCCACGGTTGTTTCAGTGCATGCATGGGGATCCGGAGCCTGGCCCCTACTGAGTAGTAGAGAGTGGCTAGTATGGTCGACGGCTCTGTGGGACTTATATGCCAAAATGGTCCCCTGGCTGATCAAGGACAGGGGCCTTCACATCTCGCGAAGCGAGATTCTTACCGCTGGCAAATTTATGAGGCCTGAAGACGTCTTGCATTTGTCCAGGGTGCGTCATGTAGGATCACTACTGCTTGCGGCACCACCGCTCCTGCATGCCATGATTAAACGGGATCAAATAGCATTACACGGATACCAGGCGTCCATGCAATGGTTTTGGAGCGGTCTCGGCAGGGACCAGGGCATCCCGAAGCCATATGACTGGCATGCCTGGTCGGAATTTATTACGAACCAACCTACGACATGGAAATCTACGGTGAAGAGGGTCGGAACCCGGTACATTAGAGGGTTCCATCGACTGGCAGATGTTGAAATCTGGCATAGACGCATTAGACATGTCCTGAGAGATATGGGATGCATCGATCCAGACATAAGGGAGGTTACTACTATCCATGCTTGTTTAGTATGCAACAAGGGATTTGCCAGTATGAGGGCCTGGTTTTGCCATGCATCTCAGAAGCATGGGTATGTCTCAATGCAGGGGGAAGCAGCGAAAGGCAGGATCTGCCCTTGTTGCAGCAAACAGTATAAGAGCTCCCTTAGCCTTAAGCATCATCTTGCTTACAGTGGGGCTTGCCGGTCGTATATGTGGCTGCATAAACAAGACCCACCCCAACCAGAGTCGTGTCAGCCGCACCCACAAATGCCTTGGACATACGTTGATATCAGCCAACCGAACATTGAGTGTCCCTTCGACCGAGATGTTGCTGAGCTGACTGCCAACCTCGATTATGGTCTGAAACACGACTTGAGTCCAGTTGGTGGCGAGGAATTTGTTCAGAAGATGACCCAAACCCTACAAGGGATTTGTACGGTAGTCATGCCTTTCCCGTCTATCCATGCGGCTTTCGCGAGCTGGGCTAGATCGTTAGCTGACTCTACGGATCTCGATCTTTTAAAGGTCCTGGAACAAGTTGCCTGTTGGCTGCTAGATCGGGGGCGTCAACTTGTCTCCACTCCCAGCGCAAATGAGACAATTCCTGACGAACAAGATAGAGCCAGTGTCCAGGTAAGACCATATAGTGGTGTCATTCCGAGCTTTCGGCCAAGAGTTGCGTTATTTTTGCATTTTTTCAGTGGACATAGAAGAATGCATGATTTGCAATGGTGGCTTGAAAAGGTATTCGAAGACATGAACACACACATTGAGGTGGCGTCAATAGATGTGGTCATTTCTGAATCCAAATGCGACCTTTCGTCGACAGAACAGCAAATGAAGCTTCTATCATGGATCCGTGCTGGAAGCATTGCTGGGTTACTTGTTGGTCCGCCCTGCGAAACATGGTCGGTGGCGAGAGAACACGCGCCTGAAATGGGGGGCCCTAGGCCAATCCGGTCGCGTACGTCGCCATGGGGCCTTTGGGACATCAGGGCCAACGAGAGTGCCCAAGTTGAAATGGGTTCCCTACTTCTGGGATTCGCGCTGGAGGCTATGTTGGAACAAGCCCGCAAGGGGGGGTTTCGGTGTGCTTGAGCATCCCAGGTGCCCCCGGGACTTCATGCCCAACAAGGCACATGCCCCATCAATCTGGGACCTTGCTGTCATGAAATGGTTGATCAGCACAGGCTTGTTCGGACTCCTACATGTTGAACAAGGACATCATGGTGCTTCAAGCAGGAAACCCACCACCTTGCTTCTCTGTGGGACGTCTACTGAGTCTGCGTCTGAGCTGGAGCGTAGTCTGAGGTCCAATGTCACACCTTGTACAGCCAACATAGGCAAGTGTGGTACAGAGTGGAAGACAAGCCATCTAAAGGCTTATCCTTCAGCTTTTTGCAGACTTTTAGCTCTGTTGTTTAAGATGTGGTGGTGCGACAGAGCTACAGCTCCTCTTACTGAAGTCGATGCGGCCCGAGAATGGCTAGCTGTTTTGTACAGCCATCTCTCGACAGGTCAAAGTACCTTTGGACCCGACTATCACAGAGGAGCCCACCAGTAATTCAGAATTCAAGTGCGAGGCGCTGCACTCTTTACAGAGATCCGTGCGCGAATCGGAAATCGGAAAAAATTCTGGGTTTTGAAGCCTCTCGGCATCGAGAGCAACAATCACCATATAATATATAGATCCTCCTTCAAATTTCCTTTACAAAATCAACCTGCCTGGGTAACAAAAAGAGCTTCGATATTGTAAACAAAAAAAGTTCATTTCCAGGTACCCATTTTTGTGGGGGTGGGGTGGGTGATTTTGTAAGGGCAGCATTCTTTCTTGGGGCTGTTGATTTTGTAAAGACTCGATATGTTGGTATGGAGGTCCCAAGTGCCGCACTGTTGAGGGTGGGATCCTTGATTTTATGCAAGTTTGAGGGTGGGGTGGTTGTCCTTGTGTAGAACATGGACAGTTGATTCTGTAATCGATTGACCTGCTGTAAAGCATGGACAGTTGATTTTGTAGTGGGTTGAGCTGCTGTAGAACATGGTCTCATAAATTCTCAATAATTCGCATAATTTTTCATGATTCGCATAATTTGCTGAATGACCGACTGGCTGTGTTTCACAAGCGCCCAAGATTGCATGTTGCCCAGGCCAGTAAAAGCATATAAAAGCAATTTGGAAACATTTAAAAAGAACAAGAGTCATGATGTTCTGGGAAGCTCCAAAGAAAAACAAGACATCGATGTCTCGCACTGGTGCAAAAAACATTCTGCGAAGTTGACCAACTCTTCGAAATGGTTCTCTGCTGCATACCACCTGGCAGCAAGGCCCTCCTTTTGGTTCACCTGTTCACCTGGGGTCCCTGATTCCGTAATGCATCGAGCTTTGAGGGTAGTGATTTTATTGTAATCTAGGTTTTGTCTAAATATCTTGGGATCCCTGATTCTGTAATGAAATTGCACCGCAGCATTACAAAATCGTTAGTTTTTTCCAACCCAGGTTGAATGATTGAGATTTTGTATCTTGTTTGAGACCTCAGGGAGGTTGATGTTGTAATTGCGCTGGGCCATGTCGACAGAGTGCATATGATTTTGTAATGACTGTATCTTGAGACTGGGACAGTTGATTTTGTAATATCGGCTGGAGAGTTGTCCCTTGCCTGCGTCCTGGGGGGGTTTGATTTGTAAAGCTTTTCAGATGGGCGAACCTGGGGTGGTTGATTCTGTAGCACATTTTCCTTAAAGAACCAACCACCCCTACATACTCCAGGAATTCGAAGAGTGATATATATAGTATCCTATAGTCGTATCACCCGGAAAGCGCAGGTTCGGCAGGTTCGTTTGTGCGGAAGATTGGTCGAAATCCATGTGCTGGTGTTTACTCATGATTAGGGCCCATTGATCAAGTCTTCAAACTTTGGATGGGCTGCTTCAGTGCTGAGCCGTCAGGATTCTGAGTTTTCAAGTCAATCGACACATCACCTCTAATCGTTCTTGAACAGCCTCACTGCTTCACTAGGGGTTCTCACATCACAAACAGGCCGCCACAGGCCTCCAAATTGGCTTTTAATATGCTTTAATTGTTTCAATCAAACCTATTTACGCACACCGGGGGCTTCCACTTCGCCGGAGTGTACATATCCACCTCCGGGATTCCGGACACCGTTTTGGCGTTTGGGCCTTTGTCTCGGCCCCGTTTGGCTCGGTCGTTTCACACGAGCGGAACCGCCACCGCGACGGCGACCGCAGCGGAGTTTCACCGGTGTCGCGGGAGGAACATTGGTGGTGGGACACCGATGAGCCCAACGACGGCGGCGCCGTCAACGACCCGGAGATCCGCCACTTCGTGGCGCGAGTGCTGACCGAGCAGGCGGCCGAGACGCCGCGCAGGCGGGAATGGTGGTACGTTCCGTGCAGCTGAAAAGAGAGGACTCGAAGTGACCATTTGATGTGAACTCATGGTCGGTATGGTATGTTTGGTTCATGGGGACGGGAGAGGGACAGATTTCCTAAGAAGTCAACAAAGAAAGAGGGACTTGGCAGATCATGGTGCCTATGTGCAACGGCCAAAATCCACATCCTCGTGTTTTCGTTTCATTTGGAGCTGATACGGCGGATCACCGGGGTTGACCCAGAGTGCCGGAGATGCCGGGTTCACCCTGCATCCTTCTCTGGTCATCGCAGGGTAGGCCACAGACCATAAGGTTGCAAGAAGCAAAATCAACAAAAGAGCCTATTATACTATAGTAGTCATGTCAGATCTGACAGGTGATACAGGTGACTCCCAAGGCCTATCTTAGTCGTTCCAAGTGATGAGAACCGTTTATCCAACCCTCCTGCACTCCCAGTTGGCGCCTGTTGGGCATGGCATCGAAGGGTGGCTTGTCCTTGTGGCCGCAGCGGGCGGATCGGCAAGCCGAGGTGGGAGGGGTGGATATGGGTCGATGGATAAGTTTAGCGTCCTTGCTCCGTTCGTAGCGATGCCAGGAGCCCCTGGTAGCTTCTTGTTCCTGTAGTAGGGCCAGGAGCCCCTAGTAGCGTCCTGGTTGGGTGAATCCTGTTGAAGCCATGCATTTTGCCTCGACCGATCATGTCACTGTTATAAAGGCTCCAAACGCACTCGGAGAAAAAACCAGCTCAGCAGTCCTTCTCCCCGGCCGCTTAGCATGTCGGAATTTGGAGAGGTCTTTGTGGAGCTACCGGAAGGCTGGGCCAGTGGGACATCAACAGTTGAGTCCTGCGCCCAAACGCTCCATGTATGGAATAATATATTGAATATATATGCCTACATTCAACCCGCCAAACCATCCCAATGTGGGTATATATCATATATATATATATGCCATACATGGAGTGTCTGGGACTTGCAGAAGAGACGACTGTCTGACTCACTGGCTAGTCTTTGGAATCGTCAAGAAGCCAACGTTGAGCTCTTACTCATAGACCCCACTTGAAAATAGACAATCACATATATGTATATATATAACAATAATATAAATATTAATAAGAATTGTAATAATAATCTGAGTGACGTGAGACACCAGCAATCTCCCTATATACACACATTGAAGACTCAAAGTAAACCAAAGAGATCCAAAGAAGCAAACCACGCCACATGTCGATCCATTTCCAAACCCTCAAAAACAATGAACAGTGCTTCGCACCTCCGCCAGGTAGCGCAGCAGTGCTCCGCACCTCGAACGTGCGGCGCCTGCAGTGGCGTCCGTCTCCGCAGCGCCAGGCGAGGACCGGCAGGTACCAGGTGAAAAAACGGGGCAAGGCAACTCTCCAAAAGAGATGGTTTTTGTGTATTGTTTAAAGCATGTTGTTTCATAAATCCCACTTTCTGAGGACGGCATAGCTTGCAGTTATTCAGTTGATCAATGCTTGCAAGTTTGTGGTATGTGAGGAGCAAGACTAGTTGTGGAGAGGCATCCTAGAAGATACCGTTTGACAGCGACCGTGTGTGCAGAATGCAAGGGCCCAAAGAAATGTTTGCTGCACATTCCGTCCCATTCCCAAGGGTCATTAAAATGAATTGCCTCAACAACATTAAATTCACACGTCAGAAACTCACTCTTGAAAACGAAGTGGATTTGTAGTATCTTCAGACTAGAAACGCCCTCTTTACCTGCATAAAGAGGGATCACATGAGACATCACGACTATCTTTACCCGGCTCCCATATCGCAGTCTAGTCTATTGTCCTATACCTTACCTTGTATTTAATACATTTAGTAACTTAGTAGGTTTTCCACGCACGAGCTGCGTGCGTTTACCGCTGTACTGTGTACCCATGAACAGTCTCACCCGGGGATGGCTTGCACCTGTGTCCCGACGGCCGTGGAGGGGGTGAAGCAAGCCCTCGTGGACGGCGAGCTTTTGGTGGTGCCGGAGGATGAGGTCGGCAGTGGAGGGAACTGGCATGGGAGTTCACAGATCAAGGTGATCAAGAACACTCATCATCTACTTGAGTTGGAGAATGCGATTGGAGAAACATCGAGAAGCCCTCAACTCATCGAAATGCGAGTCAGAGATGAAGATTGAGATGTCTGTGCGGCTCAAACATGCTTGTCAGTACCTGGCTGAAGCAAATACAGGTCATGTCATGAACAGCTTGCAAGGATCACTGCCATCTTTGATTCCCAAGAGTATCGAGTGTTCGACCAGAATCACCGGAGAATTCCCAGCAGCTGTTAAAACCGAGCTCCGACCCGGTGGAAACCAAGTGAAACACCTCTCGTCCGACCAGGTCGCGTCGTGGTGCCTCCAAGATGACCGATGGCAGCTTTGCGGAAAGCTTCCACTTACGGAGCGCCATGCCCGTCAGGAGTCCCTGCCGCTTTTTTTGGGGTGACACTCTGGTGACACTGGGCATTGTTTGGTGAGAGCACTTGTTTGGGGATGCGCATGGGCTTCTATGCGGATAATTTTGGATCACTGTGGTTTGGAGAACGACTAAGAGAATATATATATATATTAGCAATTCTTGCAAGAAAGAACATGAGAGTTACTCTTTGACTCGCTAGCATGCCAGAACGTATAGCTTTGATTCTTTTGATTGAAATTCTGGCATATTGAGATCCCAGAGCAGAGTTCACAATACTCCAACTACCTCTAAAATTCCCAAGTGATGAACCTGATGTCCATCCATGCTGTTCCCTCTTCGCCCATCCGCGGAGGCCGGGCCCCTCCGACGGATCATCTCTCAGCGCTTGTGTGGGCTGGCGGATGAGGACGAGACTCACCGCGCCGCGTTTCGTTCGGCGCCGAGGGTCGGGTCGGTCGGTTGGTCACCACCGTCCCAAAGGAGGAGGGATTCGGCTCGGCTTGGCTCGGCTCGGTGGATCTCGGAGAAACGGAAGTTCTTGTCTTAGACGCGGTGCTGTAGTGCTGTTTGTTAAATCCTGGCATCTGAATATGTGGATATGGAAGATCTCGAAGACTATGACCAGTTCCATTTGTTTGGGGAGCAACAGACACATGCTTCCAACTGAGGATGCCAAACCAAGCAATCACTGTGAAAGGTAAACATCCTGTGCATGCCTCTTACGAAGAAGGCGATTCGGTACCGGCTTTATTCACATAGGTTTATTTGTTACTCAATGAAGTTGTATTGTATACACAAACAACGACTTATGAAGTTCTATTGTAATACAACCATTGTATGTTACAATACTTATATACATAACCAATGAATCGTTGTATTAAAAACATATGATTGAATTGCGATCTTCCGCCTCCGCCTCCGCCTCTGGACAGCCAGGACCGAACCCAGACCAGAAAAAACGAAACGCTGTCATGAGGAAAGAAAACCGCCTTCATGAGGAGGGCCAAGAGGCTTTGCGCTTCTTTGGAAATATGCTCCTGATGACTGGCCACGGCGGGATTCGTCAGCTCTCCATGCAGGAGGCAGGGGTAATCAGTGGTTCAGGTCACTGACCTATCACTAGTCACTAGTCGTTCGATTCAAGACTAGATGTCTACCAACTATATATTTCAGTGTGTGTTTTTCCCGCGGTCGCTGGTCCATCCACTGATGGGAAGGCCGTGGACGACGGTGTGTTGGTGCCTCCAGAGGAATGTCGCTTAGGCAGCAGTCCAGTCGGTCCTAAGTTGCGGTTTTGCTTGGTGATGATACTTCATCGTCAAAAAAAGACACCTAGCCAATCATTCTAGCAAACCTCCGAAGAATGGATGCAGTTACCCTGCGGAGCAGTTTTCTGTAGGCGGATTTGGAACCCACCGCGCAGCACTGCGCAGCCTGCCTCCTGTTAGTTTGGGGAACAAGTTCCTGGCCTAGAATTTCACACTCACCGTGCTGCTTGCAGCATAACTACAAAAGCGACACAGCAAAAACTTGTGTGTGAACGTATGAACTGGATCCTTTGGGATTTGGCACAACTAGAGTCTTTAGAAGGGAAACCTGATTTCAAGTTGTCTCAGAAGCTGCAAACAAGTTTTCCATATTTCTCACGCGTGTATTTTCATACCCCAAAAGCTGATAAAAATAACGTCCCACCTTTAAACAAAGAACAACTCGTCCTAACCACAAAGATGACTGTACCTTGGGTCAAGTTTGTGACCCAACTTGACGTATGGACATGTATGGACCCTCAGATTTGAAAATACCTTTTGGATATTGGTAGCATATGGTAGCATTATTTCATATGAACGTTATGAACCCTGAGCTCAAACCTTGCCAAAGAACTTGACATCCCACGATATGTACCCTTGCTTCAATGGATTTGCCCTGCAAGGTTGTCGGTGACGTGAATTTACAAGGTGCATAACAAAGAGTAGATTGACGTAGCATAACCAACGAACCATCCAACGAACCCCTGCCTACATGCCCTTGCAGAGACCTGTGACTTGAACACTCATCCAGTCTCCCTGGAGCTTAGGTGAAGCTTTGTTGGTCCTGGGCACTCCAATGTCAAACCCCGTGCGGGTCTAAGAAGCTGGACGGTTTGTCGGTGTACTCCGGTGCTAAGACTTGGTGATTTGGTGTGTTGGCTAAGACTTCGAAGCAACCTCTGGGCATCTTGAAAGGAGTCCCAAGACCCAACAAACCTCCATGGTCTAATAGAATTCAGATGAATTCAGAATGTTCATGCAAAAGGTGAACAAGGGAGGCAAAAGAAACAGGTGTTCAGACTGTGTTTGTTTAAAGAACACCTTTTAAGTTCCTGAAAAAGGGTCTCCAGATCCAGGAAGGCTTGCGCCCATGTCATGCCTGAAGGGGTCTGGCGCTATGTTTCGAAGAATATCTATTTAATTTACTCAAGGCTTGATTCCTCATTCATTTGAGTTTATGACACTTGGCGGGTAGTGGATGGAAGCTGTTTTGCTTTGCTCCAAAAACATCTCTTTACACTCCGGTGACCTTCGAAACGGCAGTTCCGGTGTGTTTTGATATACTGTAACTGCAGTAATTAGGTGATTTCTGCGAAGTCCATCCAGAAACATGATCTGAATCTGGGTTATATGATGTTACGTCACGTGTTGGCTGTTTAATTAGAAGGTAGAGTTGTCCTTTCCTTTCCGGCTGCCGCTTCGAGGCAGCCGCCGCCCTTCTGAAGGGTCAGCACGGCACGCCGGGGCCGACGCGACGCCGGGGTGGTGAGACCCCGGTCGGTGACGCGGCGTCGGACGCCCTACATTGGGCTGAGACACCGATTGATCCACCATTCCGGCATCTTCAGAAACTCGATGGAATTCAAGAAGTGTCGTTCCTTTGGGGGTCGTAGGCCTGTAGGCAGTAGCAAGCGGCAAGAAGGCAAGAAGGCAGTAGGAAGGATATGACAATGACAAGACCAATTGAGATCCAATTGAGGATCATTTTCACCTGAATGCATGGACTTCCCCTCAACAACTTTTGGCTAGCTAGGTTGGCATCCTTATTAGTCCATGCTGTTGACTGTCCATGATTTTCCGGGTCGACCAGGGTCCCAGAGCTTTGACCCCTTAGCCATGCTTTTTAGTACCTGCCAACGAGTTTGTTGAACAAATCGAATCAGCAACTGAACATCCAAAACAATCTCAGCACCAAACTTCGGCCTCCGGCCGCTCTAAGCCACGGTTGGTGGCCCTTGAGCCGAGTGACCAGTTGCTGCTGGCTCGAGCACGATAAATGAAACAGCTTCAGGAGAGCAACCCAAAGCTTCTGCCAGCTCTTCTTGTTCAGCTCCATCTTCCGCCGACCACCCCAAAAGCAATTTTTTCATTGTGTGCATCATTGCAAGTCTTGCCTTTCCCGAAAGCCCTTCGTTCCGGAACAGCCAGTGTTCCACTGTTCCTTTGGTTTCTGCACTCTTTGCTAGCGTGGACGGTGGACCAAGCCAAGAAGACGTTCAACTTCCGTCACCTTACAGAATAACTTTTGATTCCATTCCTTCCTGGCGCTTTCATCGCTGACTCTTTCTGGGCGATGACAGCGCCACTTGCTTGCGCTGGAGGTGTTGGGCCTTTCAATGCTTGAACCGCAACAACAGATCTTCTTTAAGTTTTCCTAGTAATGTGTCATGTGTTAAAGTGTGAAACCGGAGGGCTGGGGAGGTGAAGGGGCACCAGGAGTTTGTAGTCTGAGTAGTTGGAGCTGAGGAAACCGGAATGGGAATTGACCAAATAACAGGTGAAACAAGACACAGATACACCAAACACATGAAGAAAGACAAAAGGCAACCGACTGGCGTCCTCCCATGTGGGTCGTCCCAAACTCCTTCGTGAATTGGTTTTCTCTCCAATTCCTTCGATGCGGGGGCAACCGACTTGGGGCGTTCGGAGTTGGAGGTAGCAAGGGTGCTCCTAGTAGTAATGCCCCTGTTACTAGGAGCTTCTTGTTGCAAGTAGTATGGCCAGGAGCTACTACGTAGTAGCTTCTTGTTACTAGTAGTATGGCCAGGACCGCCCCCCAGTAGCTTCTTGCTACTAGTAGCGATACCTTGCAACCTTTGGGAAGTTCCTCATGCTTTGGCTGGACAAGATCTTTGGCCAACCAGGGTACCGATTGCTATTTACACGTTCCACGGTGGTACGTGTGTCGAATAGGAACAACCTTCCAACCATTGTCGTAGACTTGGGACACCTCCCAAAAGCAACCATTCGTTTGTCATAGAATAGTCAATCTCATGTAATGTATAGACTCTTGATCGACTCTTGATCAATAAAGCCCCCTATATATTTGAAGAGGTTCTAATTACATGGTTTTACAATGCAAATGGGTGGGTTTTGTATGGTTTTAAATCAAGTGAAGTGTCTTCATCAGTTGAGACGTCTCCCGGTCTCCCAAGATTTGTATTCTTTTGGACCCACCCAAAAACACCCGCCATGTCGCTGGGTGGCCGGACCTGCCTGGTTCAGGTCCAACGGGAAGTCAAGGGCACATACCTTCCTGGTGGTCTCCAGCTTGACGACGGCCGGGACCCACGGGACCCACGGGTCATGGGCGGTCGATGGAATCGGTGGAACATGGTGGAACGAAACCGACCCCGGCGCCACGACGCCACGACCCGCGGTCGAACACGAGGCGAAGGTGTGTAAAACAGGGGGTGAGCAAGGCAGGAAGTCGAAACATGGCGTTTCCTTTACCAGAAAGGTATCCTGGTGCCCTGACCCACAATTATGAGAAAAAAGGGCGTTTCTGTAGGTCCATTTCCATATTTAGGCAAGACTCAGACACCTTTCTTGTTAGAACGTTGACTCTGCGCAGGTCTTCCTCTTCTCGGGCACTGTCTTCGGATGGGGTGCGCTCAGCTCGATGCTACAGAGGGACGCTCGACGGAATGGGTCCGGGACGCCAGAACTGTGGCATCCGACATCGGTCCGACAGACATACGCAGGATCGAGCCCTCGTTTGCAGGCAAACCCATGAAATTAGAGCTCTAAAACGTGATATCTGATCAGAGTTAAGCTGGCGACTGATGCAGTTGCCAGCGGCTTGGTAGAACAACAGAGCAGCGGATCGGATGAGTTGTAATGTCTGGCAAGTAAGCGTTGTATGAATTATGAATGGACAAAATTTACATCAAAAAAGTCCCTGTGGCTATCATGAACATTTAGGGAGTGCACCATTTTAGTATCTATCACAGATCATTGTGGTTAGCAAGCAGAAGAACTTGGCCGCAGTGGCATGCATGTGGTTAACTATAGGTTAACATTGACCAAATGGGCGGGAGGTGTACCAATTCCTGTTGAACCATCCGAGTCGTCTTCAGGAGGGCTACTATGATTGGCTTTGTGATGCGCCCGATCCGAACCACCCCTGTGAGCAGCAGCTGCAAGCGCTGAACAACGCCTTCACCCTAGCAACCACCTTTGCTCCTTGGACTCCTTGGACTCGGACGACTCGGTGCTCAAGACCAGTCGGTGTAGAAACCGACACCTTGGGAAGGCCTGTAGGTGGTTATAATGTACTTATTAGTCGTTCAGGTCGAGTAAAACGGGTATAACATGAGTCCCTCAACACATGTCACACAACGGCCCCCCCGGTTCTGTGTTGTTCTTGTTTAATCTTCGATGAATCTCGTGGAACTGTTGTAAGTTGGTGAGAGGTTCCACAACTACTCAGGACACACAGGCTGAGGAAGAACCAGCCAATCTGGATTGATGTTCTATTTTTACGTCTTTTTTTTGTACAGTCTGTGCACCTGTTGACACCTATGATGATTCTTTGACAAAGCATTGCCTTGCTGTATTCTGCTGGCGAACACGAAGAGGAGGAACAAAGGCTTCTTCCAAAGAAGATGAGCATGTTGAAGATCGTTGAAGATACTGACACTCCAGTCTTTCGACCATGTCTTGGGATCCACTTTGAATTTTAGCGAAGCTGTTCGTTCTCAGCTCCAACGTAGTAGCGTCCGACTGCTCCCTTCGTAGCGATGCCCTTTGTTACACTTGTAGCTTCTTGTTACGTTCGTAGCGATGCCCTGGTCACTAGTAGCTCATGGCATTTCCAGACACCAAAAATCTCGACCTCAACCCAGTGGGATTCTTGGTGACTTGACAGCCTGACAGGATCTGACCGGATCTGACAGGTGTTTTCCGAAAAAAGAAAGATTTCATGGATTCTTTATTGGGGGGCGTCATGACCTCGTTCCGTACAAGGCAGCATCAATGACTTCCAGGACACTTGTTGATTTCCTCCAGTGTTCAGGGCCGCCGTAGCCCAAACGGATCGAGCCGCGCGGTCGCCAAGCTACTATTCATCAGATGTTCCTCTCCAACCTCCTTCCTGTCTTTCCAACCTCCCCTCCAAAAAAAAGAACACACAAACCACCACCCCTGCATCCACAGCTGCCTACACATATCCCTGCTTTCTCAGCATACCAAACTCATCCCAAAATCCACATACACTCACCGGCATCTCACCGCATCCCCTGCTACATCGGACACATAGGACTCCAACTGACTGCTCATCAGGTTTCCTTGACCGCCTTTGCGAACGGCTGGTTGGTGGACACCTTTGGACCCATGAAGGTCACCATCCTCGCAGGTGCGAACGGATGCGGAGGGAAGACCAGTACGTTCGGTACGTTCGGTACGTTCGGTACCGGTGACCGGTGGTCGGGCGACGGAAGGTTTTGTGAACAAAGATTGGGGGGAAAGAAGTCGGTTTAATACATTGTGAGTTGGGAAGGGATCCATTGAAATATGTATTGTGTTTGTCAATGTTTGTTTCACTTGTTATTTTCGACATAAAAAGAAACGTGCGCTTCGTTTGAGAATCTCGAGATTTGGACATCATCCAGCATCAGTTCAGAGTTCAGATGGCGAGATCCAACCTTTCAGATGGCGGCCGTGTGTTTTTTCACTGAAGGGGTTCAGAGTGAGAGCGGAAGCGGCGATCCGATCAAGTGCCAAAACCTTAAAATTGAACGTCTACAACATCTCGGTATATCGTGGGCCCAAAATATCTAATTTCGGTATGGCGGTTTCATTCCATCCAGACGTATGCAGACTATCGAAAGATGAACGACTCTTGCAGTTTATAGCTAGTATATGCTGGTATATTGTTGCTTTATATATAATATATAACAGCAAGACAATCAAGAGGCGCTTAGGCACTGTATGTGTACGTCTTTATCGGAGTAATTGACATCCCTCCAACCTGGGAGAACTAGCGTCTCCCAGAAAAGATCAATTGTATTTATTGTAATTATTGTACTCACACAGCCTCCCAACACACTGGCAAGCAAAGTGATACTGTAGATCAGGGAATCTTCCCTAAACCTCTTGTTTTCCACGAACACGTTTTAAATCATTGCACTTCTCCATACCCCTACCATCCCCTACCCCTCCAAACTCACACCAAACCAACTGGAGCTCCACCCGGTCTCAGGTCCTCCGCTGTCCGCAACGCGTTGCGCGTTGCGCCGTGGTCGACCGCCGCGCGCTCCGTGGTCGACGCTCGAGGCGCCATGAGTTGCGTGGGACTCATGGGCATCGCGCTCACGCGCGCGATCCCCGGGACCAAGTCCGAGGCCAAGGGTGTGGAGGGGTGGCTTGTGGAGGGGGGTGTGGAGGGGTGGACGCTAGATTTTGTCAGAAAGAGACCTTGTAAAAGAGTTAATTAGCAGTGTTGTGTTTGTTTTGGCTTTGGGATGCTTTGGGTATCCTGAGTTGGTCCAGTACTCCTGTGACGTTTCAATTTGCTTGTTTGGGGCAATAGAATGTAACCTTGTAGCCGAGCCAAGCATCTGGTGGCACCCAGATGAACGATGACTCCCGACCTCCTTGGAAGTAACTTGGAAGGCAACATAATGTGGGTTTTAAACCTTTGCGGCTAACTTTTTGGGTCATTCTCACCGTTTTCGTTTCCGCAGCCATGGTTCTTCTGACTCTTTGTTGAGTCAGTGTCCGGTGAGGCCGAGCAGGGCTTCGATGTGTTTTTGTGGTCCCTCTTGCTGGTGGCCGTAGGCGGCAGCATGACCATGTTCCTGGGCGGCAGCTGAGTAGCGAGAGCAGTTCAGTTGGACAGTTCAGTGTGAGTTAGTTTGCAGGTGTATCCTCCTAGGTACACTGTAGGCTTGTATCGTCAAACGACCCACCAACCCACCCACTTGGTCAGAAGCTCCTCTCAACGACCTCACACATCTTTTTGGAAAGGTTTCAGGTTCGCCCCTTACGAACCATTGGAATAGCTGGTCGATAGCTCTATAGTCCAGTGGAGAGGGCAATGTCTGGAGCTAGAAGCCGCCTCAGCAGTGGTTTCCTCCCACCGACACATCCATGTGTCACTTTCGAGTCCGGATGACTGGCTTCGACGAGGACATGTTCCTTGTTTCAGGTGTTAACAAGTTCCTAACTTGTCAAGTACAATGTACCTTACTTGCTGAGCCCGTTTTGCTGCAAATTTGCACCCCCAACATGGTGGTCCTATATAGTGACTCGCACTCCAGCGCCATCATGCCCACCGGATACCAAGGTTCATCGGATACCAAGCGCCCTTTGTCATCCCATCTCACTTCACTTTGCTGATCGAGGTCAATAGTTGCCTGGATTCGCAGGGCTCAAGCGTGCGGCGTGCTCAAGCTCTCAGCATATGGATTCTTCAGTTTGTCAATCTTTCTATTAGCGCTATAACTGCTAACTGGTGGATCCATTTGGGTTGGTGGTGCTTCAGTGACCGAGTTCTGGTGGATGCAAGCGCTCAGGAGTTTTGTCACAAGTTGTTTTGGGCCTCCACTGCGCGGTGTGCCGTGTCGAAGGATGTCAGAAGGTCCAATGTTTGGCACCTGTGCTGTGCCTTCATCGAGCTTCACCATCACCATTAGGATCAATAGACTTTGCATGGACCCTTGGAAGCGACGAAAACTGGAGCTGTTGAGGTATTTGGGGATATTTGGGGATCAAGACAACTGAACATTCCATTCTAATCCATTCTATACCAACAATCTCCCGTTTCCGTTCGGTTTTTCCGGTTCTTCGATTGGACACGAAGCCTCACGAGCACCGTGAGGCTGTCTCTTTGATGCCGGGACCATCATTTTCCCAATCCTGAAGTTGCTCTACGATGCGGGCGTGCCCTTCGCAGCCTTCTTTTGGACCTACACGGTGCTGGGATTCATTAGAGACTCGGCTTGGATTTAACAGGGCGTTGAATGATAAGGCCTAAGGCGTTTCTATTTTTGGCATGGTGCTAGCTGGAAGCGGTTATTTTGCACGTGCTCTTCAGCAGCCAGTTTCATATTATCCCATGATGGGTGAAACTGACACTCTTGATACTCAAGGTTTTCTTCTCACCTGGATCCATCAGGGTTCCTTCTTTAAGAACAATGGAACCATGTCGCTGTGGGTCACCTTCACTTTACACCCGCTGATTTCACTCACTCACATTGAGCCGGGTCGAATGGCACCTTCAGTGCGAGCTGTGTTTTCCTCTACAAACCAGGGCTATTCAGCGGGGTCAAGTGGAGGGCGACCTGGCGACCTCCTGGCGACTGGCACCCAACCCGACTCATGTTCGGTCGGCGCCGAGTCGAACGGTATCGACCGAGTCATCGACCGGTCGACGATCCGTATCCGCAGGGGTCGACGATCCGTATCCGCATCCAAGCTCACACGATCCGTATCCGGAAGTTCAATGAGATCTCGATGTTTTTCTTTTGTCACCGCTGCTCTCCATGGAGTAGCCCAACTACTCCACGAGAACTCAGGCTACTCCCTCTACGCAGTGTCCTGGGCGATGAACATGAAGGACGTCGGAAAACGACTCAAAAGGATTAGTGATCCGTATCGAAGCCCCTCCCAACCGACCTAACATCCTAACACGCCTCCTCCACCGAACTCCACGTCCTCCCGACACCGCAGGAGCTCAACGACATCCGCGCCGCTGCGAGTGGCGACACCGACCTCGCCGGGTCCAGCGCGGCCGCGCCCGAGCGGCAGCGGCCGCTGGAGCAGCGAGGCGGGGGTGGGGGGTCTGGTGCAGAGATGGAATGATGTGTACACAACATATCAATACATATGCAGCTCATATGCAGTGCATCAGTGCAGGTTTGCAGGTTGAACATTGTCAGTTTCGGGCAGCAGTTGATGCTGATCCGACAGAGCATCTTTGGAAGGCTACTAGTAGGGTCTAGAGCATCCAGGATTCCTGGACCAGGAAGTCTTGGTCAATAGGAAATTCAATAAGAAGAGCGCCGGTCTATTGAATTGAATGTACCACCAGAACATGAAGATCATATAGTTACTTGACGATAGTTACAACACTTGGTTCGATGTATGAAAAGAACATGACCCTTTCTGACCCACTAGCGAAAGTAGATTGTCACATATCAGTGACAATGCATTGAATTCCAAAATCACTTAACCATCTAAATCTAACCATGGTTTGGGACACCCACTCGGAGCCCCAGGCATGCTCTCGCAGATGGCCAGCTGGGAGTTTGCGGCCATCTTCATCTACAGCATCATCCAGGTGAAACCATCATCCTACCGATCTCACAAGAACGATGCGGGATCTTGGTTGGTGGTTCGTTCCTAGTTCCTAGGCCTATGATCTTCGGCTGCTCAGAGGATCATGTGGCCGGTCCAAAAAGGGCAAGGGCCGGGCGCAATCCCCACTGCTCATCCACTACCCCACTACTCCACCTCATCACTGCATTTGCCATGCACGTTGCTTGCAGGTGATTTCTTTGCTTTAGTCACGAGCGGCTGAGCCGCTCCATCGGGTGATCACCCCAGTCCCATGGGTCGGGAAAAGCGAGGTTCTTTTGTTTGCGAAAGAGGGTGATGTCCCGGTGGCGTGGTATGACTCTAAAGAAAGGTCTAGCGGTCTAGCAAAAAAAAGAAGGTCTGAAAGAAACAAACAATATGACATGTCTTTAAGAAGAAAGGTCCAAACAAGAAAGGTCTCACAAAAGGGAATACGGTTCCGATGGTGATGTCCCGGATCCACTCGCAGGTGCCACGAGCCAATATGTACATGGGCTCCGTGGAGTTGGTGAACCGGAAGATGGCGGAGGCGGAAGGCATTGGCAAGGACACCGCTTCTTGGAGCGTTGAACCGAGGAGCGATGATGTGGACGACCACGTGGTAGTACGTGGTAGACGGGGTCGTGATATTTCCCGTTTTGGTGACAGGGGAATGGTGCAATTTTTGATTGGTGATTCTGGTGGTTGGTGATATGGGTCATGCAATGAACATATTCAGGATTAATGATTCAATCAGCTGGGTGTGCATCGGTCAAGCAAAGCCCTTGGGCCAACCAGGCTCAATGAATATTCGGGGTAGATGGTTTTTGGCAATGCAAACGCCTGGCAGAAGGTTCATGGAATACCCAGATATCATGTTCAGCCCATTTTGCATCCCCCCCCAACACACACCCTAAACAGCAACGTTGTTTGGGTCAAAGTGTACGAGGAAGCACGTTTGGTGCCTGCAGCTGTTCAATATACGTGTTTTGCCGTGGAGGGTGGGATTTTGGTTGTCAAGGTCCCCGCCCCAATACAATTGAAGGACTTTATGAATTTGGCCCCAACATGATACAGGGCCTACACAGATTACCGGAAAGCCTACAGCATCCTACAGCCCATGTTACTGGTAACTCCGCAGCGTCCTATACGTTTGGTCTCTCGACCCTTTTTGTCCATTGTGGGTCACATCCTCTAAGAAACCCTTACCAGCTAAGGTGGCCGGCGTGTCCACAATCACAGGCATGGCAAAGTGGTCGGTGAAGCGACGACAGAATGATATCAGGATAGTGGCTGTTAGTGTCCACCAGACTCAGAGTAGGTGATATCATGTGATATCCAATCTTTAGGAGCAAGGTTGCTGTAACCATTCTTAAAAGATTCAGGAAGCCATGAACAGTGGGAGTAGTTTCCGGTGTTTTGCATTTCTTTGTGGGGTAGTTATCGTGGACCGGCTGGCTCCGCTGGGTTTTGAGATGGGGTGAGTGCAATAGATGACCACATGGTCCAGGACCAACTGCAGGATGAACTTGGGATCAGTTTCCACCACATAGACATGGCGTATTCCTTTCCTACATTATATTGAGTCATGTTGAATTTATTTGCATAGCCGCCTCCAAATTCAGAGATACGACCCTGACTGTTTCTATGAATTCAACAATGGACCCTGTAGAAGCTCTACACTCCTCGCAAAAGAGCGTTGTTTTCGTCGTGGCTCGTTCCACCGAAACCGTCGTGGCTCGGAGGCTTCATCATCCCCTTCGGCTTTTTGGCGGTGCCCCTCATCGAGCTCTGCGTGCACCGCTTGGGCACCATTCCCACGGTGCAGGTCACCACGTTGCTGGGGGTGGTCTATAACCTCATGCAGCTGATCCCCAAGTGCCTAGCCGGATGAAAAGCCCAAGACCGAAAGATTCTGAAGGGAAGGGAAGGGAAGGGAAGGGAAGGGTGGGAAGGGGGAGTCTGTGTTTGGTTTCTTTTCAGAGAAATCACACAAGTTGCAGTGGGTCATCAGGAACTTCTTCCACATCATGCCTGGCAAGACGCGTATGTTTTTATCGCGCAGGCAGCCCCGCAACCGCACGGGAGTGAGAATAAAGGTCGCCAGCCCCGTCGTCGAGGCTCTACCTGCAGCTGGCGACCGTTTGTGTCTTCGCTGCCTGGAGAGCCTTCCTCTACAGTTCCTCGTCAGCGAAGACAAAACCGGCAGCGTGGGAACTCGCAGTTTGTAAGAGTTTTTTTCGGATACTTTTTGTAATGGTGCGTTTTCTCTGGATGGTTGAATCTCGGAATCTCACCACCATCAGTGAGCACCTCTCATGGCAACTACTGTTATACTGTTATACCATTGTTTTCGGTCTCGGTCGCCGAACATCTAGGCACCATCAGTGCCTTCAACGGCGAGACCTTTGGCGTCAAGACCATGGGCCGCATCATGGGACTCTGTTTCGTCTCTTGAGCCGCACAGGGAGAAGGGCGGCGCGGATGGGAGCCGTCTGAAGCCGTTTGAATCGCAGAAAGTGTGCGAAGATGTGCGAAACCAGGGCGATTCGGTTCCGGAACATGGTGTACAGCACTATTTGCACCTGCGATTACAGTTTTGCAATGTTTTGTTGCACAGTTTCCAAGCTTGAGTGATTCCAGTGCTTCATCAGGGGCTGTAGGGGAGATGACTCAGACCGCCGTCACATAGACGGTCCATGACAGTCCCAAGTCCTCATCTCGAAGGAGTGGGTCCAAGGTTTAAAAAGCAATCCCAATTCCTGTGCACCCACTTCTCCCACTACCCACTTCCATTCCTGTAGACAAACCAATTCACCATAATCCAACCTTTTGTTTTGGGAATCTAAACCCACATTGTGCGTACTCTAAGAAGCAAGACCGCCCGAAGAGCAGGTCTTTAGTGGCCTGACGAACATGATCACTGGGCCTTTAGTCAACGCCGCGGTGGACAGCCAAAACTTCACTGCGTTGCTCGTGGAGGCCGTGCGTGAAGTTTTTGGGCTTTTGGAGGCCGTGCGTCGTCGATGAACTGGTCAGGAACGTGGTGTGTCACATGGGATCCATGAGGTTCTCCTAGATTGGTAGGTTGGAGTAGCGCTCGCCTAGGTTACATAATACCCAATATCCTGATTTGCTGTGGGTTTTCCTCAGATATTCCGTCTCAGCCGCACATGGAGTATTTGGGTGTTGGAATCGATCAGCAGACTTGTGACTAGTTGACTGGATCTACGTCCCAATCCTGTGACGGTTCCTGTGTCCTCGACGTTGTTGGCTTCTTTCGTGGCGGAACGTGTTCTTATGTATGTTTCTTTGTGTTTCTTTGTTGTTTTCAGGGTGTGTGGTTTTTGATCAGAGGGATCCATGTCATGAAAGGAGTTCGACTGCCCTTCGCGTTCTCAGGCCTTGTGCGTCTGCATTCCGCTGCCCATCATCTTCCAACTCTTGCAGTGGAAGCGCTCCCGAGAGTCGCATCCGGCCACTCAGATCGATGAATCGATGCATTCATGCGTCTCACTAAAACCAGTGACGCGGGTGATGAATGGTAGCAGCTGCTTCCAACGGGTGCCCAATGGACAACCCTACACTTACAGGTCTCCATTGAACACCCATTGGAAGTGCTAGGCCGCTAGGTATATATGGATGGTTCTCTTCCAAAGCGGTGATGATCCTACCTTTTGACATGTTTCTTGCATCCAAACCAGGATCTTCAAACCATCATACATCCAACCTGAGTCCGCTTAGGTTGACCTGGTTTGGGGCTTTCTCCCAAAAGAAATGTCTTCAGATAAACACAAACTCCGATAGTTTCATGGTGAGAGTTTCATGTCTTCCAGAACGTCACCAAGGGGAGTGGGTAGTCCGCCGAAGTGGATCGCTGAGTGACCAAGGTGATGTTGTCATCCACGGTGAAGGCTGCAACTCCTTGGCCTCACTGATCACAATTCCGGGAACAACTCTGGCAGTCCCAGATGTATATCTTATTATATTGTATATATGCTAGCCCCCCCCAAAAAAAACTTGTTTCTGAGTGCTGGTGTGCAGTTGGTAAGCATATTTGTTCATTTAACTATGTACTACAAAAATGTCCAAATCCATAAGGTTATGTGTTTACTAAACAGTTCTTGGATGGAGTAATCTAATTCATTGCAACCCCCATGCAAAACCATATGTCTTGTTTTTTAGGGTGTGAATTGTACTGCTCTTATTGAATGCAGTTGAGCAAGTACATCATAACCAGAAGGCAAAGAATTGCAAACCCTAAATAATTAAATACTCCAATCTATTCAACTCTACTCTACTCTGTAAATTCAAATTCAAATTTGAGTCTATTTCAATTATTTGTAAATTCCATTTTGATTCAACTGTCTATCACTATAGATTCTAATTTACTTGGGATTCAATGCAAACCTAATTTTAATTCTATGTCAAGCTAATTCTAACTTCATTGCTATACAAGGCAGATTCAATTCTAATAGTGTATTTTTCAATTTAGTTTTAATTTGAGTGAAATTCTCATGTACTTCTAGAGAAGTGGTGTTACTTTGAACATGAGCGATTTTATGTAGTTTTTCCAATATAGAAGCATTCGCTTTCTTAACTGAATTAAATTCACCACCAGCAACACCCACTCTCTAGAATGACACCAAAACTGAATTAGAATTCCATGTGCATTGAACTAGAATCAAAAAAGGATGAAATTAGACATATAGAAACCAAACCTAATTTGCAATGACAATAGTGTAAAATTAGATGCGTAAAACAATTGGATTTGAACCGTAAAAAGGCATTACCATTAGAAATTAGTTACACCGGTCAGAAAGTTGTTGGCGCAACTCAAAAAAAGAAATAGCGGGAACAGCCGCGCCATGTAGCTCCTTTTTCTCGCTATTTGGCCGTCATAGATGGCGCAACTGGTCTTTGGATTGCAGAAATTTAAAATTCTGCGGGGTGTCTGTGTTGATACTAGTTTCCCTATTTCCCAGAAAACGTTTGGGGCCTATAGATGGCCCAATGGCCAAGTTCTGTACATTTGGTGGCCCGGTGCCAATAGTGATTTCCTCATATTTCTTCTTGATTTCCTCTTGCCTCTTGAACTTATTCATTTCCTTTTGATGTCCTTTTGCGGTGGGGCAATAGATGGAGCGGTCCCAATCTCCGCTATTTTCTGCAAAATAGCGCACAAAATCATGCAGAATCTTCCTGTTTTTTTAGCCACGGGGCGCATAGATGGCGCAACACACCTGAATGCCCCTGATACCTAAACCTGGCGCAATAAAAAAAAGTCACCTCATCAATTTTCCCAGTCCAGACACCTTTTTGCCCCAATGCAAGGGCCGTTGGCTGGTCTTGTGGTCTTTGTTTTTGGAATTCTTTTTGGACATCCAGTGGCTGACACGCTCCTGACACGAGGCGAGAACGCCCCTGACACGCTCACGGGCGCCTTCCTCGCTCACGGCTGGAACTCCTCAGCACAAGGACATCTTGGATCCTATGGGTGGGAAACTTGGAACCAAGGACAGAAGTGAAGAGTCAGGCTTGGGAGAATCCTGTTAATCCATATCGTTTAGAGTATAAGTCTCCTCATCCATCATCCACTGTCGCTGCACCTGAATGAATGCCAATGAACGCACACCGCCATACCCAGTGCGATCACTGGAAGCATCATGGCTCTCCAAAATAAGTACCGAGCTAGCTCTTCCACTGAAAAACACAAGAGGAACATAAACATGAAACGGTTCTAAGGTGCGGGGCCATAATAGCATAGTGTACTTTTTTGTGGTAGCCTTGTCCCAAGAAGGAGAGGTAGTTGACTCTCGTTCCTTACGACTGAAAGATGTGATAGTATCTTCTCTAAGAAGGCCGATGATGATTTTCAGGGTTTCATGTGTAGGAACCCTGACACTACTTAAACTGGTTACCCTCCGACTCACTAACATGGAAGTGGCAAATGGCCTTTGGGAAGACTATGTTCCTCTAGAAACAGGGTTGGTTTTTCACTTCCATGTGCTTTTTTTCATCTCCAAAACACCTGGCATCCCTGGTGCCGCTGGCCCCAGCTCGACGCTGAGGATGTCGATCACTCGAGCGCGATCCCTGACGTGGCCCTCGGAGCCCATCGAGGAGGCCGCGACCACCGCGGGCACGGCCCCTCGGTCGCTACGGAGACGAACCTCCGAAGGTTTCAAGAAGAGCACTATAGTAATAGCTATATAGATGTAGCTAGAAGCTACTAGGTGGAGGCCATCGCGGTCATAGGTTGGAGGCCATCGCTACGAACGGAACAAGAAGCTAGAAAGAAGTTTGTTGGAAGGAATCGAAGATCTTCCAGAAGAGAGCACACGCTTTTCTTGGGGGGGTATCTCAGGTTCCATAAATCCATTCATTCAATAGTTGTTGCACCCTTGACTTTTAAGGACGTTGTTTGTAATGCACGGTGCTGATATAGGCCACTCACCTTTTTCTTTGCATCCCTTCAATGCCACTTTGCGCCCATTCAAGACGGCGGGGGGGGCTCTTCTACCGAGGACACCATGACGAGCATGGCAGAGATCTAAGTGATCTCAGAAGGTGGGCTGTCAGACCTTGCCACTTTGCCACTGTGAGACTGAACCACTGACCAACACGAAGCTCAAAGGATTCCGGATTGCCATGCTAGCATATGCTAGTGGTCCTAGTACTAGCTCGATTCAGTCATGCTCCGGACCAGAGGAGGAACTCCAAAGCATTGTTTGCTTGATTCAGTGAGGAAGGTTTGCTCAAAAGACATCTAGACCAAGTTTTGACACACAATCGCTGAGATGTTGTCCCACAACCACACCAATCACTGAGTTGTTCCCCAAGCATTGTACGTTCATGCTATATAGTGCATTTCATGCTGCATGACCCTGCATGGCTAAAGTTGTCAACAAATCTGGCCGCAGCTAGTAAATGCCGATGTGGTTGTGGGTATGTTTCGTTCAAGCTGCATGCGATCTAATGAGAACCTTGAGCATCATCTATCTATACATAGGCTATCATGGGCTTATATACTCAACCACAAACATGTTCTGTTCAAGGTCACGGTTCGACCTTCCATTCCACAAAGAGCTGAGTCTCCGTGGTGGGTATGTCAAAAACTCCCCAGTAGTTGCGACAGGATACGTCCGATACGTGTTGATTAGCTGAGGAAAACTTGGTCCTGTTGCTGGTTGACCACTGCTTTTTACCAAGCAGACCAGACTGGCATCCGCGGCTGGCAGGTGTGTCGAGGGGACATCCCTGAAACCTCTTACCATGTCCTATCGTCCAACTGCTTCCCTTGTGGAGAGTGGCGGGATGTGGCGGGTGGAGCTGCCGCATTACGTCTCGGTGCCAACCATCGTGGCCTCTGATGGGTCAAAAAGACCATAAGACGAGGATGTGCTGTGACCGATGGTTGAGTCCTTTCAAGACAAGCAAACTCACACAAGAATTATAATTCAGCGAGTATATTTAGTCAAATGATAATATACATAATAATACGTCACTAATCACTATATATTCACTAATTATAAATCATAGATAGAATCAAAACTCCAAGAATGAGATAAATCGAGGTCGGTTTTTGTTTGGAGCATGCCTTAGAGGCTGGGAGTTATTCGGATTGGGTACTTCAGAGCGACAACTTGTCAGTTTCTGGGCCAGAAACGACTCGTAGGAGTCGAAGAGGAGTCGCAGGTTCCATGAATGAGTTTTCCCCATTTGTGTTGTTGTTTGTTGTTTCTCTAAAATCAAGCTTAAGACTATTTAATAAGACATATCAGGTTCTATGAGGTTTCTTTTGTTTTGTAAAGTAACTACCTTTACATCATAAAGGTCTCGGTCTATGCATGATGTTGTGTCAAGTATGAACATTGGAACACCTTACAGTCCAGTGAAGCCCTTGACGCTGCGACAGCTCCAGTTGTTTTCAGCACGAGGAATGGAGTTCCCGTCGCACTCAGGCGCCTGAAAACGGTGGCGCGCACAAAGTGGCTCGAGCTAGCTGCTAGATTGTGATTTGATCATCAGGATGGGCAATCAGATTTGTGGGCTGCTTGGAAGATCATCTCAAGGGTGAACACAGGCCTTGTTGTTCAAATGACCTATCAGACCTATCATCAAGCGCCATCGGAGTCGAGGAAGCATTGAAACAAGGCCCATGCTGTAACGATCAGGCGTTTTACATTGTTTCACTGTCCGGTGCAGGCTGCAAGAGATATGCTTGCATGCGTGCAGAAGAGATTGTTTGCATTGGTCAGATTGTAAAAGAAAGCTGTCGCAGTTGGCTCATGATGATCTTCTAGGAAACAGGTCCTGCCCTTATAAAACAAGCCAGCAACCCGAACCCTTTATATTCGCAGGTTATTTCATCCAGCTGTGTTCATCTTGGATAGTGGGTGACTTGACCATGAAATGTGTCGGTCACATTGACCCCCCTCACCCTTGATCCAGGTCCACTTCCGCGTCTTTGGAAGGTTGCGGTGAAACAAATTTGTCTTCACAGTTTCAGGCGATTCAAAAAGGGGAAGAGATTCAGCCTGAAGAGTGATTACTCGGTCTTTCATGTGTCTCACACACCAGAACCGCACGACAGGTCTCCGTATTCCTTTGATGATCTCAGAGAACATCTCCCTGGGCGACTGCACTTGGCAAGGCGTCGGCCTCCGTGAGGGCATCTCCACGGATGTTGTCGGCTTTGGAAGCATCGGAATGGGCCAACAAGAAGCTACGAGTAATAAGGGCATCACTACCATAGAAGCAAGGACGCTATGAACGTAGCTCCTGGCATTACTAGTAACAAGAAGCTAATCTTGACATCAAATAGCTATGGGTCATTGCACCGGGGGACTAACCGCTTGAGAGTAGACTGCTGCAGAGGTCAAGTGACCAGAGGTAGGGCCCAGGGCTTCGAGTTTGGACTCACAGCCAAAAGCACGTAGACCATCGTAGACCTAATAAGCCACAATCACAGGAAAAACATGTGTTTTATTAAGTGTGTTATTTGTTTTGTTTGTTTTGCCACAGTGCTGCGAACGCGTTTCAGGCACAGAGGGCATCGAACTTTGCAGGTGGTTCTTTGTGACTTGATGAACAGTGGGAGCCACATCGAATAGAGCAGCCGGCTCCATGAACAAGATCACATCAACATCTACTCTCCTTTGGGCTTTCTACTTTGTGCCATCAAAAGCATTGTTTGATACATTGAATGCTTCTGCGACAAATTATATCGTGTCTGCTTTTCCGCATCGCTCGAGTCACAGTCGGATGATGCATGTCGCCTATCAGATCCGCAGCGCCGAAGCAGCGCGCGGCGCTGTGCCAGGTGAGATGCTGGCAGCCTTAAGTTTGCTGCCATGGTGGACCACCTCCTCAGCCGTGTCCTTGGACCATTAGAGATTTTTCCGGAGACATTGGAGCAAACCTACGTGACACAGACCTTGACTCCGGTCGACGGCATTCCTTGGCCTCCAGCAGATCCCGGAGATTTGGGGTCGACATGCATTTACCAGAGGTTTGGCAAGTTGCACATAGTGTGGGTCAAAGCAATAACCCTGAACTACCAAAAGGTGTGAGTCAGAAGAACCCCAAATTGGTTGAAACGCCGCGAGCAATCACGTTCCCACCAGAAATACTGTTCCACAAGCGAGCCGTCGAGTTGGTACGTTCCGCAGATTTCGTCGGATTTCGCGGGTGTTATTTTTTTTTTCCAGATCTTGGTTTGCTGCAATCACCACAACCACCTGGTTTGCTGGAAAGTTGATCACAGGTTTTTCTTGACATCTTGAGATGTCTTCGAAGTCCTCAAGAGTGCTTTCCTGGGTCCCTCACACCTCACAAAGTGCGAACCGGACCATTTGTGACTGAAAATGGAGCTCCAGGGTGGAGTCGATCCATTTTCAGGAGTCCAGTTCAGTGTTTTGACCATTCCACTGCACTGCAAAACCATTTTGGCTCGGCAGCGTGCCAGACGTTCAAGGAACCTCGCCTGGCTTTGCTGGCCTCCGGGACTTCTTCCCAAAGTGCTGCACAGGCTGTCCCTGCGAATGGTGCGTTCGTTGTGTTCGGCGGTTGAGTGCTTACGCATGCGCCGTATAGGTGTGGGACAAGGCAGGATTGTTTGTAGACCAGCAGGAGTCACACACACACACACTGGATGTTCCAAGGTTTGAAGCATTTCAATGCGACGATACTGTTGCATGTACATGGAACCTACCTTGCATCACACTATTCATCTAATTCTTAGTATGGTGCAGGCAAATATTGTACGACAACTATCACCTGGCTGCTTTTTGTCAAGGGAACTCGACCTAAAGGTCGTCACAACATAATGTTCACAGTTGAGGGGAAGCAACAGTCGAGCGCAATATATGATTTTGCTTTTGACAAAGTATAGAATTTGGTTTCCTTATCAGCCCCACTCCCCCCACATAGTTTAGGTGTGCACCTGCATGCTTTTGCCGCCAGGTCCCATCGTTTGGCACTTTGTATCTTTTTTTGGGAACTCCACCCATCGGTTCGTTCAATCAATTTCACTTGTTGTACTTGTGCTTGTTCTTTGAGAACACAGTCGTTGGCCGTCGGTCAGACTCGTCCAGGCCTTGATGCTGTTGGCCACACCGACGATCCCTCCGATGGCGAGGCGGTTCAACCCGCCCGCCCGCCCGCCCGGTTGTCACCGGGCCGAGTCACCGGGGGCGAAGAACGTGGGTCACATGCTTTCGGTACACTCGGTCCCACACGGTTTCAAATGGAAGACGCTCTACGAACTAAAGGGGTTTTCCACGTCCAATGTTAGGGAGTGTATACACGACCAGTTGTGAGTCAAAATGAAGAGGATTTAGACTCTTTTCTTCAGGGCGGTTAGTTGGGCGGTCGTTTTTGTGGCTCAGGCAGCCGCTGACACACCTACTGCCAGACTACGTGGTGCTAGATGTGGAGGTGGCACACACTCCACTGCGACTGCTGTTTGGTATGGTGTTGCCGCTGGACTTTGACAACCCTAGACTATGAGCCCAGAGAAGCATGCGGTGGGAACCTGTACCACTCTTAAGGTGTGTACGGCTAAGGTGTTTCAAATTATTGTTTATTCCCCGGCAGATGTCCCAGTGTTGACTTTGAACTCAACCTCTTTCTGGATCTAGTTAGTCATCGTTTGGATGTTTGGATCCTTGCGAATGCTCAATGACCTTCACCTTCCACGAGTCCTACTTCCTCAGATTCACTGCGTGGAACAGACAAAGGTCTCCCAGTCAGTGAGTACGCCAGCGAGTACCGAGTGACGGCATGTGACGGACGGCATGTGACGGACGGCATGTGACGGCCAGGAGACGCGTGCCAAGGGAGCAGGGGGTTACCTGGCGGCTGGCCAGGGTGCCTCAGTCGGCCTGATTTCAACGTCTTTGAGCTGTGCGAGTGATCACCCAAGTCTTTGAACTCCCCACTGGGCTTGGCAGCCAGTGAATTGCTGGGACTAATACAATTCCTTAGTTTCCAATGAGTCAGCAACCAAAGATACTCCAATTCGGCTCCGCCAGACACCGAACCACCGAACCACCGTCCGAGGCTTCTGGAGCCACGACTGGCAACGCTTGCCCAGCGCCTACGAGCGCTGCTGGAGAGGCGCTGGGACAACGACGGTGTCTGGGTCTTTCAACCCGGAGTGACCCACAGCCAATCACAGCCATGTGAAGCGCCACTCGCAAAACATATATATATATATATATACAGTACATCATTGACTCATATAGTGCAGTATGTTTCACATTGTTGATATTGTTGCACCTTGTCGCTGGGCGACTAAGTCACAAAAGTGTCGTCGGTTCCTGTAAGACTCTCCTTGCTGTTGTGGTGGGGATGCGGATGAGCTGGATCAGCTGTCCAGAGTGAAATTAGCCCAGCTTTGGGGACCTTGTGGAGAGTCTATTCATGTATGCTTTTCAATCATGCAGTAAGCATTTGATGAGGACATCATGATAACGCTGTCGTGGTTTGTGACGCATTTGTGTGTGTGGCTTTACAGAATCCAGTTGTCTCACCAGTCAAAGGGGCCAGCAGACAGTTGAAAGAAAGAGCGACAAAAAAACATACTCCAAACACAACGTCGCTCTAAACGGCCGATCGATGCATCACGAGGGTTCGGCCGCTCCTCTCGATGCATCTCACTGCTGAGTTATCATTGCTCCAGCAAATCTGACCCGGAAAAAACAAGGTCCACCACACAGCAATCCAGTCTTCCAGTCCTATGGGCTTTGTCTTGGGCAACGGCCTCAGCTGGGGAGTGGCCTATGGGCTCATCGTTGCCATGGTGACCCACATCGGGTGATCGTTGCCATCGGCTCATGAGGATCGGAAGGCGCGGAAGGCGGATCGGGGTGTCCGTGCAAGTTCAGTTGGAACGCCATGCACTCCTTGACATCGCAGTTGATGATACAGATCTTTCTAGTGAAGAACATCTAAGGTATTCTAAGGGTATCTAGGGTGAGACACTTCTAGGCAGCAAACGCTTGATCAGGCATGGTTGTTCTCGGGTAGTCCACTCAATTATGGACATTGGCCTTCCTGGCCGATCCCATTCCGGCTGATCTCAAGATTGTTCAAACATCTTCAATCACAAGTCTGAAGCACCGCTATTAGGTTGGAGGCCATCGCTATTAGGTTGGAGGTCATTGCTAGCCAACATCTATGCCTTGCGAGACTTGGCGACAGAGTCAACCAGAGAGACCTGGTGACTCAACCTTCAATGTTAGTACTGCTAAACTTGTCATTCAACTCTCCAACTTGGAACTGTGTTGTTCTTTTAAGTTCACCAGTAACTGTTTCAACAATCATTGTTGTGGGAAACATTTCCCTTGAGTTGTTGCTGGGAGTGTATGATAATGCGGATGGAGCTATGTTTTTCGCTGCACCTTTCTCAATCACCTCCAAACGTCTCAAGACTAACAAGACATCATCTATACCTCTGAACACCCCAGCCCCAAGGGGAGGGCCCACCAGGCGCCTGATCCGATGCGTCCGGGAGGTGGAGATCGACATGCGTGTCCTCGCTGGGTATCTGGTCGCCTGGCCGAGTGATGGCTTCCCCCCCAAGGCCGGCAGTCCTTAGGAGATATGGATGTGGCTCAAAAACATCCAGAATTCCACAGCTTGAGATGTACCCTGTGTTGTGGAATCGCCATTGGTATTGTATACTATCATAAGATACACATAAAGAAGCCGGTATACCGACATGAACTAATTCTCCAATAGCTTCGTTTGCTGTAGTGTCAACCGCTTCGCCTTTAACATACCCGCCCGATACCGGGATAGGGCCCCGTAGGATGATTCGAACCAACAACAACAACCACAACCCCACGGATCTTCGGGGCAGACTCTGGCTTTTGGAGAATTGGTCTTTAGTCGGCAACAGTGAGTTCATCATTTCTTAGGCAAAGCATTTCTGTGCTTTAAAGCTTGTGTTTACTGTGTAAGCACCGATCATATGATCATTATACTGTATAATATATATGAAGGTATCAAAGTCTTTGTGCTGTGCGAACTGACGCCACGACCACCCAGACTAGTGCCAACCCACCAACCAATCAACCATCCCACTAGAGGTGAGGTCGGAATGTGGTCATTGTTGCGAGGATCGAAGATGGACATCTAAGGTGGCTAACGTCTCAGGTGGTCAACTTCCTCAATGAGGCTGGTGGCTCAGAGAATTTACCGGTGATTTTTTGCACCTGGCCATGGACATGTAGTCAATGTGCACAGGGACAGCTCGAGGGAGTACCGGTAGAGGATGCCTCTTTACAATGCTCGCGTTGTTCCGTGGGTGGAACCAGAAGTTGCATATTATGTTCAACAAGTAAACCCACAAGCATGTGAACAAGCACCAAGATTCCTGCCTTTAATATGTATATGGAGCCATCAGACAGGGAATTCATAGTCTCTGAAAAACCATCACAAAGTGCCCGTGACAGGGTGCCATCCACCACATGCGCAACCACGAGCGCGGCGGTGCACGCAGCCTTCCACGCAGCGTGGGCTGCTGGGCAACGAGCTTTGGAAACTTGACTTTGACTTTCGGCTTGAGAAGTCGATCACTTTATGCTTATGGCTGCCAAGTGATCGACTTATCCTTTTATATGCCTTTGTATGGCCTTTGTATGCCTTTATGTTTTTTTTTTTTGGCTTTGTGACGATCCATAACATGCCTTTGTGTCCGGGGACGTGGAACCTGCCTCTAGCCGCGCGTTACGCGCCCAGGCAAACAGGAGTATTGGGAGAGCTTCTATTCCGGCGACACTGCCTCTTGGGCCTTTAAATCTGAAGCGGAGAATCAATATATCATCGTTTGTGGGGCTGTGTGGAGGTGAAGAGTTTCTCATGTAACAGATGTATGCCTCAAAAGAGAGTCACCTTTCTATATACTATATGTATGTGAATGTGATTGTGTATATATATTATATGTATATATATATATAGTTTTTTTAAGTTAGACGATCATTGTGATTCAACCCTTCTTGTTTGGGGTCAGAATATGACAGAATCCAGTCGAACAGTGGGCGATTCTGGCACTGCACTGAGCCCAGGAGGATGCGAAAGACTTCGAATGGTTTTGTAGTTACGAGGAGAGCTGTGGAGCAATTTGGGAAGCCTTCAAGTGTAGGTGTGTGGACATGTTTGGGAGTATGAGCGGTGCGATTTCAGAGTTTAACTGTGTCAATGACAAGGGAATTCGACCTCAGATGATCTCAGATTGAGATTCTTCACTGACCAAAACGATCCACAAAGCAAAGTCAAGGATGACAAACAGCGTGCCTATTGCTTCATTGGAGCAAACAACAGGCAATTTAAGCTACGCTGGGGGATCTGGGGCTTTGTGTTACTCCCAAAACGGACGCCATCAGGACATCGAACCCTTCTTCAGGGACTTCGCGCGGCCCGCGCTGGAGAAGCCTTCTCCAGCCGCTTTGAGGTGGGACCGAGGACGTCAAACAAACCCACTGCCCTGTCAGCAACGCAAGGATTATGCTATTTGAAGGCTTCAAGTTCAATGATTTTCAAACTATGTTTCTTTAGAGTTTGCTGGGATTGGCAAAATCTATTGGAGAAACCCACAAGGTGGATGTGTTATACTATGATTACTGTAATTATTTAGATGCGGCTCGAGGAAATGTGGCTTGGCTGCATGGCAATCAATATCATTCAATGTTTGTGGAGGAGCCAGTCTGGAGACTTTGGGGATACATAGGATCCAATGAGCTGCAAAATGTAACCAGTTGCGGATCCTATGCCACCTTGGGGGTGGTTTTGGATGACTTTGGGGTCGGTGTTTGAACTAGCAGCCAATCTGAGGATGCAGTATGCAGGTGAGCATTCCAAAGGAAGCTCCTCCCAGAAAGTCAGTCCACGCAATCGCAAGTAGAACGATTGCTGCCAATGTCCGAAAGCCATCATGTTCATACCTTCAGTGATGTCATGTGCTGTCCACACGCTGTTTTCCTATGCCCACGCACCAGGCCACAGCTTATGATTGCAGGCTGCGGGAATTCCCGTTTGGCCAACGCTGGGCATCCCGGTGAGACGGAGAGTCGGGAGACTCCTCAGGGCCAATTAGGGCGAATCCAGACCCAGACCCAGTGCCAGGACGAAGGACAAACCTAGATCAGCAACAGAGCAAAAGTGTGCCTGCTGTTGGGGGTGATGCTGGCCGTGGTAAACCCATGCACGAGGCAAAGTAAGATGTTTATGTATCGCTTCAATAGCAAAACCGGTCGCTGATGGTGGGGGGGAATGAGGGCAGTGATCATCGATGTTTCGATGAACTGATGGCCCTTTTGAAACTGCATGCTTAACCTACTGTAGTTTTGCTCAAGGTGATCTTTCTTTTTCCTATGGGCATATCTCCTTCTGGGGAAGATGTTGTTTTTCTTTTTTCTGGTTCCTTAAGCAAATCCAAGCTCGGGACTAGTAACCATGCACAGCCATATCAGTGGCATCCAGAGGACGGGGAAGCTTACCACAAGGATATATTCCGCATCGTCCAACTGGTAGGGTATTGGTCTAAGCTGAATGAAGCTGAATACAGCAGCGCGGGTAATGGTCCTGGTCTGTCGTGCAGCATGTGGATGTAGCACCGAGGAGATCTACGACGACCTTTCGAGTGATGGCATCGAGGTGGACATTTGGAATGTGGACTACGCTGAGGCCAGCATGCACGAAGGACCTGCTGAAGCACCATCTACAATACAATAGAGTCTGCTAAAGCACATGGCTGGAACGCCACCCTACGGTTGGCACTGTTTTCTTTTTCTTGGGGAAGGAGACAGCTGGTTGAGATTCTGGCCTTTGAATTGGTCCAGACGTTGGACTTCTTTTCTGCTGAACAAGGGGCCAAAGCCTAGTCTTAGAGTTCAGGTAAAAATATACAAAAATTACCCCAACCATTTTGAATGCAATACACCCCCTCACCTCTTTGTAGAGTAAAATGGCCATCCAAGCGGTCATGCCATCCCCTTCCATGGCATTGCCCCAAGGCCGCCATTGCCCGCGCACGCGCTGTGGCCGGAGAGCGCCCCCTAAAGCACGTAGTTGCGGACCTGCGAGATTTGCCAGAAGAGGCTCGCCCGCTTGAACAGCCTGAGCTTGTAACTTTGATTTTACCTGGTATGGTTTTTAGTACAGTATCTGAACTTTGCAGGCTACCCCACTTTTTGAATCAGGCTTCGGATTTGGGATGGTTTTAGCACAGGGATCGATTCTCTCCCGAGCTGCTCTGGTTGGTTCGGGAATGATTGACAATGTTTCATAATCCTTAGCATGTCTTCGGCTCACCACCCAGTGCCAGTGTAAGCCTCTAGGCTAAGCGATCCATGTTCCATTGGTTTGGGGTCGGAATGGTTTGTGGATGTTTGCAGTTGCTAGCATCCTTTGTGTGTGGCCTTGAAGAGTTGATGATGCCCAGCTTGATCGCTTGATCCAGGCGGCAACCCCCCCTAGAGGAAAACCATGTTTTGAATCTGAGAAGTGGGTGACCAGGCGGGTCAAGAGACCAAAGATCGGTAATTGATGACTTTCTTGGTGAGCTGTATTTGCATGGTAGATCTTGCTATGTGCATGGCCAAAGCTGGGAGGAAAGTCCATGTGTTCACCCTTAACAGGCATGCTTTCTGCACACCATGCCGAACATCCTTTGTTGCGGACGAATGCAAAAGCCGGATTCCTCGTACAAGCCCCGGACTGAGACCGTTCCTGTGGTCAGAAGCTCATGGATTGGGCTTGTCCTATGGAGTAGGGCACGTCAGCCATAGATACATAACAAGGAGCCAAAATAATTCTTTTTTTGGGGTTTGCGCATTATGTTCACATGTGTTCGCTCTATTTACGCATGTTGTTCACCTTTTTTTTCGCATTGTTTACGTTGTTCGTTTGTTTTCGTTCTTTTTTTTTCCTAGGAGACTATATACAGCGAATATTGCTGACGGGTAAAAGTTATCATAAGTGCAGAAGTGGTACCAGGAAAAAAAGCAAAGAACATAGCAAAACAAATGCAAACACAAAGCAAATTGCGTTGCTTTTGCATTGTCAGTTGCTTTTGTTTTGCATGTGTTCACTGTTTTTTTTGAAAAACAATTTTTGATGGTTGGTCATACATGGCTGCCATTGCTCAACACAATCCTATTACCTGTGACAGTCAGTAAACCATTATCATGCATGTTGACTATTTTGAACAAGGCCTGCAACCTAACCATCATCCACTGGGCGGGCCCGAATGGGAGGTTAGACCCAACTCATGGAACTCATAGAGTCCGGACTCCCGGGCCGTACGGGACCTGAGACCTTTCCGGAGAACAGCTTTGATGTGATCGTGGACAAGGGCACCATGGACGCGCTCTTTTGCGCAGGAGACGGAGGGGCGCGCTGGAGACGGTTGGGCTGATGGGCTGCTTTGTTGGGGCGGGACCTCGTCACCGGGAGCGACGGGTGGGAGGAGCATCATCCAACAGATGAACACCAGATGCATCGTCGACACATGTTTGGAAACAATGGTGTTCTGCATTTTCTCCATAGCAACTGGCCAAGGAACAGACTGGATCCAGCTACTCGATTGTGTTTGGGTCACTCTCCGGCTGCCAGACTGCGCATGGTCCCTGATGGGTTGTGCTCAAAAACCTCCCAGACTGGTTCATTCATCCTGTTTTGCCGCCTGAAGTCCTGGGGAACCATGAGTTGGAATCCTGAGTGTGAGATTCCTTTCTGGGAACACTAGCCCAGCGCTTGGCAACTTTACGTGAGTCACACCCAAAGCCTACTACGCTAGGGTTCAAATAGCTTCCCATTCTCACACAACATTCTACATGAACGACGTTCAGTGCAAGATTCTCTCCAAGCTGTCCAGCTAAACATAGGGCGCCTCACCTCGAATTCTTTTTCGCTCCGCCTCACCAGGCGGCCCCTCTGCCCAGCGCTGCGCCGAGCAATTGCACAAAGTCTTACGACCCTCTGGCGTAATGCTGGTGCTCTCAGGGGTCGCATCCAGCCAGGCGGGTTGACCGCGAGGGGACAGGACCGGAAAACGTGCGTGGTGACGTTGGGGAGGGGGAATGTTTGGGGGTTAGTTGATGGTGGCTTCTGAGGTGAACGAGTGGTTGAACTGCTCAAAATCTGACCTGTAGTGTGATGAGAACCAGATACAGCCCGCACACCGTGTTCTTAGAAGAAATTCAAGAAATTCTGTTTTGAGGGTTCCATCTCCAATCAAACTGACTCTCAAGTGTAGTGAGATCTACGATTATCAGAAGCCTCCACTGTAACCAGGCCTGGCCTGATCTTCCACCGGGAAGCTTTGAGATATTTGCGCCAGGAATTGCTGCAAAGCTTCAGGGATTGGACGACGATCCTGGATGGCTCGCCCTACATCACTGAGGAGGGCGAGGCGCGGCCCGCACGAGCGATAGAACGCGTGTCCGCATGACTGGTGACAACTCGGTTCTTCTCAGTCCTTTTGGAGTTTCGAGAAAAATGACTTAAATCTTAGGTTGGAGGCCATCGCCATTGGGTTTCATAACATGTACATCATCCAGATATGTGTTCAACATGCACCAATTGTGCTTTGCCCTGAATATATGATTAGTTATATGTGTTGTCTCCTTGTGGTGAGTTGGTCACACTGTGGATGTTTGTCAAAGGATTCTATTTTGGGGATTTTGATGACGGAGCCCCTGTGGGTTCATCTCTTTTGGAGTCACCCAGGTTACATCATTTGTACAAAGCGACACACTAGAACAACCCATTTCCAAGAGTTCCAAAGATGCCTATCGGAGGGTAGGGTGCCTATGATCCACTCACTTAGGGGCTCAACACCATTCCTTTGCAACTGCTGGTGTAGAATTGACAGTTGAACTTGTTTTATGCAGTCCAATGGATGTATACTGTATACTTGGTTTGCTCGGCACACCACTTCAGCCACTTCAGCTCCTGGATTCCAATTCCCTACAGCCCCTGGATTCCAGCAAGCCACCCGTGGTATGTCGTCGTTTTGGTGATCAGCCACGTTTGAAATCCACTTGAGGCCAGCATCAACCTCCGTTCTCGACTCTTCGTCTTTCCCAAATGAGCCCTTCTCAGCAAGAAGAGCGTCGCTGGAACACATGAGGAATGATCGCACCACGTGGAGGGAGGCGCACGCGCCCGGGGGGGGGGAAGAAGTGAGATGGCGCAAACGCGCGCCCAGCTCGGCGAAGAACATCGGCCTTTTGCTCGGTTTTCGTGTAAAGGAAAACGCCCTTTGTTTCCGGCAGAGTGGGCCAAAGCCAAGCATTCCCTTCTTCGATGATGCTTGGGGTGTACAACCCCCACGTGCTGCAAGGGGATCACGAGATGTACGAGCGAGCTCAGCCCACCTTCGATGGCGGTGCCAAGAAAATGGGAGAGCGGCGTGTGAGCAAGTGTGGCAAAAAGGGCCCTTGGCATCCTCTCTTTGTAATTAATCCGGTCCACCTATTTAAAAGCACGGCCCCCCCCCCCTTAATAAGGAAACCTCGGTCGCATTTTTTCTAATAAGGGGGTCCCTGAAATCCGGGGGGTCCAAAATAGGGTCACCTGGAAAGAGTTTCAACACCAAAAAGTAATCCAGGAAAACTTTATATAAAATCCTTTATTAAACTCGTATCAAAAATGCAAAAAAAAAACTCCAGATCGAAGGGTCTTCCTTTTCCCCTACAAAAACCTTCATTAGAATAGTGATTCTTCAGTAGACTAACAGCTAAAGCTTTCGAAAGGTGATGTCGCTGTGCCATGCGGTGTTGCATGACCTCGGTGGCAAGTGCGTTTGCGTGAGTCCGTGCCATTGGGGGAAGGAAAGCCTGCTGGTGTAAGCGCGGCGTGTCATGGTGGATAGACAGGGCGGACGGAGGTGGGCAAATATAAGCCGTACTTAGGGGGATCCGACATGACTTTGTTTAATAGGGGTCCGTTTTTTAATAGGTACTCGGGATTAGTGCACATTTGGGATCTACCTCATCAACAGACGTAAACATGTAATATGTGAACATGACTTGAGCTCGGTTTCCAACTTCCGCCCCTCCGGAGGAATCAGCAGCCTGTGAGGAATTCGCATCATAAAGCATATGGGAGTGTTTAGTCTCCAATAAACCTATTACGAAAGCCAGCCTTCGTAGAAGGCGCTAGCGGAGTTGTGTCTGGCGAACGAAGTGAGGAGTTAGGGGGTCTGGGGGGGTGGCCCGAGAAAGGTATACGTCAACTCAGCACATGCTGGGGGAGGAGGGTGCTCCGAGGGAAGGTTTTTTGAGGTTGTGTTGGAGGTGATTTTTGAGGGGTGGTGATGCAAGAAATGCCAAATGCATCATTTGCATCATCTGAATGGAAAGGTGTAGTTGGCACCTTGCAAGGTAGAGAGACCTAGGGTAGCTATAGTGCAGCTACCAGGTATAGTACTTCAAGTTCCCTTTCCGTCAACCGCTTGAGAACCTCTACACACGCACAGCAATCCACAGCCTTGAAGTCTCATTCGTGCTTTGAACTTGTATAGGTGTGTAAGAGGTATAGCAACATACTATTTATACGGACCCAGGGTAGCTACAAGTAGCTACAGTTCTGGTATGGCGCGCATGAGGCTTCAAAGCTGTGGTTTTCAAGCTAAAGTCAAGGTGGCCTGAGACCAGGGTTTGCTGCCCTAAAACACTCTGTTCAGGCCACCTTGAAAATAAAG